GCCGAATCTCTGATGCGTCATTTGTGCATCAGGTGGCCGCATCGACCATGCCCGGTCCTGACTCGGTCGACTGTCGACCATTGGCAGCATGGAATGTTGAAACCGTGGAGGTTTGACGGTAGGGTCCTGTACGAGATGTTTATTTTTGACCTCGGCCACAGTCCAGAATTGCTTCCATCTTTTGCCTTTATTTATATTGGTACCGTGGTGTAAGTCTTCTGTGATCCAGAAGTGGGGTGGCGTCATTTTAGGCGACACCACCATTAAGTGATGGTGACATCACCACGGCGCCTTTTGCCAGGCCAGGTGCACTTTGAGGCCACGTGAAGTGTCGAAGTGCTCGCTGACCAGGAGGTCACAAAACAGACCCAGGTGCCATGGGGTTGGCTGATTGAGATGATGGCAGACGCACCAGCTGATCATTTACACAGATGCACACACACATATAGTATACATGCATACATATGTAATGGTTCGACAGAGGCGCACACACTCGTATGGAGGGAACACTTTATTTAACACAACTGCAATACAACTGTAACACACACAATATATAAGGTGGTGACCACCATCCTAATCTTGCTGACACTCGAACACTCGGATACTACTCAACGTGGCCAAGCCAGGAGGACTTCTGCATGGCCACGACGACTTGAGGCTTCTGTCTTCAGTCTTTATGAGGCGTCTTCATCCCGGATACGAACAGCCTTTCTCTGCGTGACGAGCCCGCTTATATGCGCCTCGGCGTGGCCCGCCACACCCAGGCCAAGCCCACCTTTTCGAACCCTTGAGAAGGCTCTGCTCCCTGATCACGTGCCCCCCAAGGTCCCCCAGGGGCCCCTGGCCCCCACCTTGATCTGGTCACGTGTCCGGTCGGGTTCACTCAGAGTGCCATGGCCTGACACGACCTCCGTGGCACTCGTCAACAGCCTCCACACTGCCCGACTTGGCAGTGATGTCATTCGTACCAACCCGACATAGCAGTGACGTCACGTGTGTACAGACCCAACACTTTTACGGTCTTGTCCACACACTCTCCACAGTAACTTAGCTTAGCCTTTACACAACACAAGCCGTCTAACACTGACGGCGCTGACTAAGATAGCCAACTACTATCCTTTGTAGCGCAATATCTAGCGGAGATGATTAGCGACAACAGCGACAAAGTGACAGCAATGACGAGACGAATCCATTCCCAGAACCGGCAGCCTCGGGCTCCCGCTCTCGGCTCCTTTTATGCTATCAGCGTGGCCTGGCTCCACCTTGACTGCCCCTCCCTTCGCGAACCCGCTAGCAGGTTCCAGGGGCCTCCAGATGGGGTCCTCCGTGACCCTTACCCTAGTTCCTCAGCTCTGAAAACACACCCGTGCTCACGCTCACCGGCATGTGTACTGTCTGTCCACCACAGTTGTCGCTGATGTCTACCAGCCAGCGCTATTACACTACATCATGCCCCCCCTTGTTTATAAACACTAGCCGTCCCAGCTGATACACAGTAACGCAACCGGATTGAAAGGCAGAGCAACTTCCACAACCGAGGAACATCCAAAATCCCTCAAAACGCTAAAAAACAACAACCATACAAAACCACAATTGCGCTATTTCTCGCGCCTCAACAACCCAACAACTGCTCCCTCCGAGCAAGTCGGCATGCGTGCAGGCACACAGCACAACTGCGGTGCCCCCCATGAACCGACAACACAATTGCCGTGATACTTAGCGCATGGCACAGGCAAAAAAAATTCCATCAACAACAACAACCAACACAAAGCTCACAGCACCACGCAACCCCCTTCTCAGCGCCCGTTATACTTTTACACAGCATTTACCCCCAATCAAACAGTACAAAGGCGAGTCCGCTTTATCGGCCATGGCTCACGTGAATCGGGTCCTTGATGCGGGGTCCCCGCCTTGGACAGGATCCTGTACTTCTTTGGGGCTCCGAGGAACAAAAAAACCGGCCTAAAGGGCGCGGCCCCTCCCTGGCGAGGGCCATCGGTAGGGCCTGCAGGGCCTCCTATTCCATCTACCCGACGGACACCCAAGCTGCTTTGAAGCGATGATGGAACGCCGTCCAATCGCCTCCTGCCGCTATGAACTCCCGAACGGAAGGCAGCCTCTGTGGTCGGCACGCGGCGCCTTCTTAGCATCATCCCACGTCCTACTCCCAATGGCGCCCACCTGCCACGCCATGCCCACGGCGGGAAAAATAACACCCGGCAACTGCATGGTCCCTGCCGTGGGAACCACCGCTGCAGGTAGCAGCTTCGATGGCCCACTTGATGTACCCTGGACCGCAGGCGAGGACGCGGATAACCACTTCACACCACCCATCCCTAGTTCGCGACTCCGTAGGATTGGTGCCCCTCTCCCGCTGATCCGCAGCTGCCGGTTCTGCACCATCGAGGTTTGTAACTGGGGTCCCGGGTCCCGGGGCTTGGCGGAGGGATGACCGTCTCGCCGTCTTTGTCCTCTGATGACACTATGGGTAGGTTCCTTATCCTTGATAAGTTCAACGTTGCTACTATACCCTAATGTCTATTGCATTTTCCAACCACTTCTGACACCAGTTGTAAAGTCAATGATTCAGAGACAGAGTTTCTAGGAGGCACTTTCGTTATTAACAACTTTCACGGTCTCCTCCACACACTCTCTACAGTAGCTTAGCCTAGTCTGTACACAACTCTAGCTGTCTAACACTGACGGCGATGACTAAGATAGCCAACTACTATCCTTCATAGCGCAATATCTAGTGGAGACGATTAGCGACGACAGCGACGAGACTACAGAAGCGACGAGACGAGTCCATTCCCAGAACCGGCAACCTCAAGTTCCCGCTCTTGGCTCCTTTTATGCTACCAGCGTGGCCTGGCTCCGCCCTGACCACACCTCCCTTCTCGAGACCACTAGCAGGTTCCAGGGGACTCCATATGGGGTCCTCCCTGACCCTTGCCCTAGTTCCTCAGCTCTGCCAACACACACCGTGCACACCCTCATCAGCGTGTGCAGTCTGTCCAGCACAGTTGCGGCTGCTCTCTACCAGCAAGCGCTATTACACACCATATGTATGCGATCCATATACAAACCAATTTATACGCAGAAACATACCCACTCGTTTTAAAGCTTTCGTGACTGCAGGGATTCATCTTCTTGGTTCTTTCGGTAAAGTCACGTAGAAGGGAAGTAATAAAATAATAAAAAATAAAATATAATCAAATAATTCTCACGACGTTTCGGCCACAACGCAAGCAGCCGTCCTCAGGTGAAAACCAGGTCTGTCGAGACGACAGCGTCTGAATGAAACAATGTATAGGGTGGTTTACAGCAATACAGTATATAATTTAATGTTGGGTTTGTCTATGGCAGTAATAGTACGGTGTAGACTCGTGTGATGTAAGAGAATAAAGTTTAGATGGAAGCACATTATATTTTTTACGACCTAGAATTGTAATGTATTACTTACTGTTAGTAACTCAGCTTATTGTAGAGTATATTTAGTATACTGATGATACTATGTAGTTTATACTTTAGTTGTTTACGTGGTGGTTTTAGTTACTGCAGCTACATACTATTAACACTCCTTTCCTTTATTAATGCTACCCCTATCCCCTCCCTTTGATGCTGCTAATCCTGCATAATGCACGGGCATAAGTAGTACTAATCACATACCTGGATTTCCCATAAATATGCTAATTTCCTCTTGATATGCAAATTATTTTGTCAAGGCGCCCTTTCCCCCCCCTTCCAACCCAGCTTATATATGCTCCAAGCACGTGTGCGGTTTCATTCAGACGCTGTCGCCTCGACAGACCTGGTTTTCACCTGAGGACGGCTACTTGAGTTGTGGCCGAAACGTCATGAGAATTATTTCATTATGTTTTATTTTTATTATTTTATTACTTCCCTTCTACGTGACTTTACCGAAAGAACCAAGAAGATACCCACTTGTGTGCCATGATGGTCTTCCTAGGTGCAAGTCACTAACAGGACTTGTTCCAACAGTATGTTAAAGCTATACTGGGGATTTTTGTTGCGTCTGTGTGTGCGCGTGTGTGTGCACGCGTGCCCTCCTCGTGTGTTTGTGGGGAGCGGTAGGGCAATAGTTAGCGTGCTGTGCTACCAGCCTGGCGACCCGAGTTCGATACCCGCTCACGATCAACACCAGTGGAGATTATGTAAATGAGTCCTGGGCATCCCCTAGATCGACTTAGCCTCAAATGAATACCCATTGTGGTGTGTCAACATCACCACTGGGGAGACAAAGGTGGCCGGGCGTGGTGCTGGCCACGAACCCCCTCGTGTACCACAGTGCCGGGCTTCATAGGTGTTCGCTAACAGCACTTGCCCCAACAGTCTGTTAAGGCTACACGGGGGATCGTTGTGGTTTGTGTGTTTGTGTGTCTGCGTGTACGCCTGAGTGCCCACGTGTGTGTGTGTAATTGTGGTGTCTCATCGCCTCCTTCCGACACGCAAAGCCAGCATCAGGACTCAAGGGAGGTGAAGATAAAACTCATTTATTTTTATGTTACTCTATTTTGTTTTATTTGCAATACAGTACTTTTTTGACAGTGTTACGCACAGATGTACACTATCTCTCCTCATGTATGAGTTTAGCAGTGCTTCCCTTTTTTGTTGAACCGTAACAATACATTTCATAACACCGGACCGTATGGACCTTTAAAATTACTTCGTCGATTGTATTATTGTTCGTCAAACCTCACCTTCGCTCCTGCCCACATTTTGGTCAGTTGTGGCCTTTGGGACCATTTGGCATCCTTTGGCACCCCTTGCCAAATCGGGCTACGTGGGTCTAAGTCCTCGCCCTCCAACCGCGCCCTCCTCTCCTCACCCTCCTCCTCCCCATGCCCCCATCCCCCAGCTGGACCAGGCTTGATGTATAATGGGCGGGGGGTCGCGTACTGGTTACGGTTTAACTCAGTGTGAGTGAGTGAGTGCCGGCGAACTTATTAATCGCGTGCAGAGGGACTGCTGGACCGCACCGGCCCTTCCTGCTGCTGCTGCCGCGTTATTGAGGCGCCTTGCTACGCGGTGCCTTCAAAAGAAGCAGGTGAGTTACTCCCATCATCATCACGAGAATTTACTACGACCAATTTAATCATCAATGTCGTTATCGTCATCATGAGTTACTCCCATCAACATCATCATCATCACTATTACAATTATTTACTACGACCAACTTAATCATCAATGTCATCATTATGATCATCGTTCAATTTCAGATTGAGCAGACCGGAATTCTTGGTCTTTATCGGGGAAACACCTTGGCCCAAGGCAGTAATTATAATAGATATTGGGGGGGACACATCCCTCCCAATATTAAAATATTCTCAAAATGTCCCCCCCCCCCCCATATATTGCTATAAAATAGATTTCTGTTTTCTGATTGTGGTTATGGTTGTACTTTATTCATCCATAATCTTTGCCATTACATACAATGAAACAAGAAAAGGTAAAAAAGAAAAAACAGAGCAATGTAATACAATAGACTATTAGACATTATTGTAAAAAATTACTAAAAAGTCCATCAGATGCATTAGTGATTTTTTTAAATATTTAGCCAGGAAATTCGTTTTCAAATTTAGATTTTTTTCTGGGGGGGGGGGCCCCAGACCCCCTGGAAAATTTGGTCCCCCCAATGTTGACTCCATGGCTACAACCTTGCCTTTGCCCATGCCACATCCATCCCACCTCACGAAACCTGCTTTGTCCTCATATCATTAGAGGCCCACGGGGTAACGTGATAGCGCCTTACGCCGATGATGCTCACCCAGAGCCAGGCCTAGCGGTGTTACAGAAAGAACGGAGAGAGACCCGAAGCCCTGGTTAAGATCGCGACGTGGTTTGTTACCACTGGCGATGGTTTCTTTACATTACAATTCTTTGTTGATCCACGGCTGGATGAAGAGGCTCCCCTTGCTGTTGCCATCCGTCGAGATTGTTTGATCATATCTGGGTGTAGGGTGCTTTCAGTGGTGACACTCGTGCTTACGGCCACAAGGGTCTGGGTTCGATTCCCAAATACGGTTCCTCTCTCTGTGGGCTTGGTATGTTCTCGCCACTGTTCTGCATGGGTTATATGGTTTCCTCTCATAGGTAAAAAAAGATATAATCGTGGAAATGGTACTGGCGAAAACGAAATGTATAATCACTGCCTAATGACCAATTGGTACACACTTTTTTTTATAAACTCCATCCTCTTATGAACAAATTGTGTCTTCAATCAATACGGTGGCATTTGATCTTGACGTAACTCTTGACAATGCCACGTATAATTGTCCGTGAGAAAAAAACTGGCTGCGGCATATACAATCCCAAATGACGAACTGACTGCCCTTGCGATTTGTTGATGGTCATTGCAAATGCAACTTGAAGAGAGAACCGTCTTCGCCGGAATTGGGACTGGATTCGTTTCTGATTATTACAACGCGAAGAATGAAAACTCTCTTCCCATAAAGAGAGCCAGGCATAATGAACGAATCAATGCAATTTCATGTCAATTGGATGTATTGGATGCATGTATACTGTATGTATATCACACAGCGGGACAGATTTCCCTGCGATCTGTAGGAGGACGGAGCTAAGCGAGCGGAGTTGGCATCTCCCCCACCCGGCGTTCAGTTTACGCACGCATGCATGTATGTCGGAATACGCGAGCGAGCTGACGAGAGCCGTCAGAGTGTGTCGGTGGGGAAGTGTTTGCACTGATTGCTCGGGATTGTAAATGTGGCGAGGGGAAGGGCAGTGGTGATGGTGGAGGTGAAGGGAGCTCTGGGCTGAGCTCAGGTGGGGAGACGTGAAGAGGGCGAGCGAGAGAGGAGATGGAGATGGTGGGTGAGGTTTGTGGGGGGCTCTGAGCGAACTAGTTCTGCCCGTTTTGTCACGAAACACTCTCTACTCCCCCCCCTTACCGCCACCCACCGGAGAGACCCCCACCGTGGTACAATGTAGCCCTTGGGCCAGAGGTGTGGACTCGAGTCATGTGACTTGGACTCGAGTCAGACTCGAGTCATGAATTTGATGACTTCAGACTCGACTTGGACTTGCATAACAATGACTTTGTCCCACCTCTGAGGTGTGGACTCGAGTCATGTGACTTGGACTCGAGTCAGACTCGAGTCATGAATTTGATGACTTCAGACTCGACTTGGACTTGCATAACAATGACTTTGTCCCACCTCTGAGGTGTGGACTCGAGTCATGTGACTTGGACTCGAGTCAGACTCGAGTCATGAATTTGATGACTTCAGACTCGACTTGGACTTGCATAACAATGACTTTGTCCCACCTCTGAGGTGTGGACTCGAGTCATGTGACTTGGACTCGAGTCAGACTCGAGTCATGAATTTGATGACTTCAGACTCGACTTGGACTTGCATAACAATGACTTTGTCCCACCTCTGCCTTGGGCCCCCCCTGTGATCGAGAGACGAAGTGGGAGACACCACCGCTGCTTCTCGGCGTGGCTACCCGTGCCAGACCGGGCCGGGAATGTGTTAATGTATGTTAAACTTATTTATCACCGTAAGTAGCCAACCGTGATAATGGGAAATGCATGGGAAGGACAACAAACTAAACACAACATTCAACAAGCAGATCTCGTGGTGGTGGTGATGCTGCTACTATTACTCCCGTGCACTCACGCATTTCTCATTATTGTTACGGCCAATTCAATTGACCTTAAGTTGAGGGATTACATCTGACGGGCATCTATGGGTAGCTTGTCGGTGATAAGCCGTAGAGTGTCAACCATTCGTTGAGCTATCATTTGTGATAGCCTTACCTTGGTAAAAATAAAATAGTTGAGTTTTTAAATTATTTTAGTTTAAGATTCTGAGTTGACCATAATGACATTTTACAAAGGCGAGGATATGAGTCAAAGTATCAACTGTTGGTCGGAAATAACCCCAAGTTTGTTATTTACGATTGTGAAGGGAAATGGCGCCCTGTAAAGTAAGAGTACGGTCCTTGCCGTGTATTTTTGTCTTTAGCTTTATTGTGATCGACCCGCGTGGTCTTAAATGTCGCCGTTGGTACCATTGTGATAAGATATAACTTTACCATTATGACGTTGCTTTTTTAGGCGATCCATTAAAGATTGGCGTCATTGGGCTGCCACCAATGAGCACCTAGGCCTGAGGTGACGCCCACATTGTTGTGGTTGTGCGAGCGGTAGTTGCAGCCTCTGTTCGTGGTTGTTGCGCGGTTGTAGTTGGTGTAAGGGTGTGGCACAGTTGCGGTGTATGGCTGTGGTTGTTGAGCGGTTATTGTGGTGCATTGTGGTTGTTTGAGCAGTTATAGCAATGCATTCTTGTGGTTGTTGTGGCCTATTCGTGGTTGTTGAGCGGTTGTAGTTGGTGTAAGGGTGTGGCACAGTTGTCGTGTATGGCTGTGGTTGTTGATCGGTTATTGTGGTGTATGAATGCAGTTTGGAGCAGTTGTAGTGGTGTAATGTTAATCGCTTTATAAAACGATGCACATGTAAGCTGAGCTTACGAAAATGTTTTTGTTTTGACTATCGGGATAGTCTTCTTGGTTCTTTCGGCAAAGTCAACCAAGAAGATGAATCCCTGCAGTCACGAAAGCTTTAAATCGAAATATAGGGATATTTCTTTTTATAAAAAATAATAGATTTTGGTGTCACCCCCTCTGACGGTGTCACCCGCACCCCCGCACCCCCTAGTGACGTCACTGGTTTACGATGCGGCGCTATTGAAGTGGCCGCTGGTGAAGGTCAATTGACGCCATTTAAAGTTACACTTTGGTGTTTTGCCATGCATTTATTTCTTTAGTTATATTTTCAGTGACGCGTGTGGTCGTCAACATAGCCGTTTATGAATCGCTGTAAGATGTGACTGTATAATATCTAACCTGCTTTATTTTCTTGGCGCACCTTGCAGTTTTTGCGAAATCCTGGAACTATTAATCAACAATCAGACGTGGCATCACACATGTTTTTGCATTGTCCAATGGTAAATAACAGCGGGTCAGACAAATAGAAAGCAGATCTACATACAGTACTCTTGTAAATGAAAATAAGATGCTTGTGCAATTTGATGAGCATTCAAAGTTGCCGTGTGTGTGTCATAAGTAGAAACTTTCATTGCATAATTATCAGTTTAACACGTAGGCTTTCGCGACCAATATCATCCATAATAGAGTTTTTTTGGGTTAGATCGTGTAAATATATAAATGTGTTGTTAAAACCCGCCGCCACCCGACAGCCAACTAGTAAGGTTTGTCACGTTAACAGAACGTGGCCAATTTGTCACTTGTACAGCACACCGGTGTGTTGGAGAGCCAAGCCACATACAATCTGAGTATGACGTTTCGCTAGTAATTACAACTAGCTTCATCAGGCGACAGATTTGTGGATAAGTTTAACTGTTTCGTTCCTTATATAGAGGCATAGATGTGGTAACCACACTTCTGCGCTCCTGCGCAAATTGGGGGGGGGGGGGGGATTAATGAGTCAACGTACATTATGCATGTGCCTTATGCGAGCCCTTTGATCTTGTTCTTCCTTTCTATTATGTGTATTAAAATAGCCGTATCAATGGTAATTCCTATTGAAGTATGGTGCCCTTTATAGGCATGCATTAAAATAATGTATTATCGTTTCTCAATCCGCTTGTCCTGGTGAGGGTCGCGGTGACAGCATGTTGAGTAGGGCGGTCCAGACCTCCCTTTCCCTGGCGACAGACTCTAGCTCTTCCTCGGGAATTCCTCGGCGTTCTCAGGCCAGCGACAGTCCCACCGCTAGCGTGTCCTGGGCCGGCCCCGGGATCTTCACCCAGTGGGACGTGCTGCCCGGTAGAGTTCCAGGGGGAGTTTATCGGGGAGCATCCTTACCAGGTTCCCAAACCACCTCAACTGGCTCCTGTCCATCCAGAGGAGCAGCAGCTCGACTCTGAGGCTCTCCCGGATTACCGAGCTCTTCACCTTATCACGGAGAGTTAGCCCGGCAACTCTGCGGAGAAACCTAATTTCGATTCCTTGTAACCATGATCTCATCCTTTCGGTCAATACCCAAGGCTAACGAGCATAGGT